TGGATTTAAACCTAATTTTATCTGAGGCCAGACCCTTTTTCACTATGGTAGGCTGCCTTGGCAATTATAGCACATAATTGTAATGATAATGCTGTGTTACCTACATCTTTCTACCAGTGTTAAACTGCCTTAAGAGAGCATTTTCTCTCTATGCCCGTGAGGTTAGTGTGAGTGTGCATGTGTGTGCATGTGCGTGCACACACGCATGTGTAATAATTCACTGGCAGCCATATGGGCATATTTCATTGAAACTGGACCTGTATCTTAGGACTCTCAATGCAATACCGCTTCTTACTCTTGCGCTGATTTCCGAAACAAATTAAACGAAAAGATCAGGAGCCCAAAAACTGATTATCTCCTCACCTTGCTTCTTATTTGAATCTGTTAGCTTTGTACCTGTGTACATTTTTCTTTTTTTTCATCTAAAACCACTTGTCTTGATTATCTTCTCCACAACATCTATTACATTTCCCATGCTCTCGTGTGTGAAACATAACACCCACTCACACTGCTCTACCTGCCTTTAGAAGAAACACATTTATTTCGTAGAAAATATACAGAACATCAAGAAAATATAAACTACCTACTTTGATCCAAGAAGAATCACTGCTAACGTTTTCGGTATGTTTCATATTTACATCTACCCATCTCAACTTCTATCTCCATCCTTGTTATGTTGCTTTCTTAACATGTCCACTCCATGTAACGTTTTGTGGGTTGTTGAACTTCAGCTGCTGCTGTTTTCATTCAGCACAAAAGAATCAAAGAAAGAGCTAGTGAATGCAAAGACAAATAGTTTACATTGAAGGTAAGCAAAGAAGCAATGCTTTTCTAACAGTTCTGAAAATCAGGGTGCCTGTTCTGTTGGGAACAAGACTCTCCTGGAAAAGATCAAGGGATCTGAATCCTCCACAAAATAGTATTTGCTCCTCAAATTTTGGAGTTTAACCACTAGGTTGCATTTGAGAAGACTTATAGTCATGCAGAGAGAAATCAATCAATCTGGGCGAAGAATCAGGAATACTGTGGTTTAGGAAAAAGAGGAGTGAAATATTTGGAAGAGTATAAAAAAAGGAAAAGCAAATATTCTTTGTAGTTGACTTCAGATTTCTTACCTGTGAAAAGCCCTAGTAATTGGTACATGTGAGTATATGTATGTTTGGCCTTGGCAAAGACACAAACTGAGGTGGGAACTGGAGGTGATATGGAGGCGTGGTAGGGAAAAATAAGCAAAGATTCTATAGTTGAGTATTTCCCACTTATTCTGTTCTTGATAATCAGTCTACAATAATGTCTCCTGATTTTTTCAGCCTGGACAAATCTAGAACTTTCAGAAAAGAGAAAAACAAAGAAGGAAGTACCCACCTAGCCCATCCCAGCCCTTTTTACTGTTGTAAATATTTACACATGTGGGCTCAACCAAAATTCCCAACCACTATTCCATTGTGTGTATGACTATTCACAGACGGCCATATGCATGCAATAGTCATTGTATCTTTCATTGTAATTAAAGCACCATCTGCTAATGAGTTTCCTTATCAAAGTTGGAAAACAGGGACCTTTGGACAATGAACATTGTTACTGAAAAACAAAGTAATTTGGAGAAAATATTTTACAAATACTCCACAATGGAAATCTATTATGCTTCATGATTCTGTAAGAGTAAATGGAAGTCCCATAATGCAAACTATTGAGGAGGAAAAAAATGCCATTATGGCATACTAGTTTAGGTATTGACTAAAAAGAAGAGTTTTAATCTAATTTTTTATTTAATATATTATTGTATAAAGCTAATGATAGCTAGTCCAAATGTAAATATCTGGTCCCTAAATTTTCAGTATTTTTTTTTAGCTAATTTATTTTTTTCCACCTATTCCTGCTTGTACTTTTTACTTAAATTTGAATTTTGTGAATCTCTTAGTCCCTACAGAATTCATTAACTCTATATCTAGAGTGAAAAAGGGCCAATTTAGCTGTAGCCGTGTTTGGTGATTCTCATTTTGAGCACAAATGTCTAATCAACACCTACAGTCTGGGTGTGCATTAGTTAGTTTACTCTGCATGCTGCCAGGGAGGGTAACCTAAGGATGCTTCTGATAGACTAAACATTTGCAAATGAGCCCTCCAGTGCCTACATTATCCACGCAGTATAAAGCAAGTAGGGCTGGTTTGAAGTTCTTTACCTTCCCTTGTTTATTATGACAAATATGTTAGGTTGGTATTATTTAAACACACCAGCAGCCCCTACATCTGTTATTTAAGATGCTACACATTCAAGTGATTGAGAGACAAGGTGACAGGGTAGTATAATTTAAGTTACCTGGCATTTTTCTATGCACTTTCAACTCTGTTCTTTACTTCATATGAATGATATTTTCCATTAGTTTAAAGAATAATTGTATAAATTGTTTTAAAAAATGAATGTTTTGTATTGGTAGTTGGGGAATAATAATAATAATGCAATAGTTTTTCATACCTTGAGTAATTATATGCATATTCTTTGCCTTCTATATTACATCTAGGAATTACTTATAATGTTAGGTAATACACACTGGCTTAAACTATTTTAAAAAATAAAAATATTCTATGAAAATAAATCACATATGCTTTGTTCTGAAAAATAAGCTCCAGTGTGTTAACATTTAAAGTCGAAATTCAGTATAAGTGCGTATGTATTCAGTTTCAAGTACAGAGGGAATGCCAAATTGTTTTACCACCAAAGTGATCACTGCATTTTTTTCCAAGAGTAAAGGGCAAAATTCAAAATATAATTTTCCTGGCTGTGACTAGCTTTTTTTTTTTTTAATTTTTCTGCCCAGTAGTGATTGGAATCATCTCTTCATGTAGCAATGTGAATTGTGTCTACTTTATGAAGACTAGGCTGAAGCAAAGTCAAAGACCAAGTTTCCTTGAGTCAGCAGCAGACGAGCAAAAATAACCTGTCTAAACTTTACATTTTTTTTTAAGATTTTATTTATTTGAGAGAGAGAATGAGAGAGAGAGAGAGAGAGCGTGCACATGAGAGGGGGTTGGGTCAGAAGGAGAAGCAGACTCCCTGCTGAGCAGGGAGCCCGATGTGGGACTCGATCCCGGGACTCCAGGATCATGACCTCAGCCGAAGGCAGTCGCTTAACCAACTGAGCCACCCAGGCGCCCTAACCTGTCTAAACTTTAGATTCTAAATCCAGAATGGAAAATTTACTGTTTTATAGTAATTAATAAAGAAGCTATGTTGTTGAGTCAAAGTTAAAGAATTTCTCAGTGAACCAGAAATTCTCCCCAGGACCTAGAAGGTCAATAAGGCTGTCTTTCCTAATGAAGAAACTCAGTAGACATCTGTGAACTATTACTGCACTCATGTGATCAGTCACAGGCATGTATTGGAATCAGGGAACTTTTCAAAAGTAGGTTCAAAGCTGCTCTAGAATGGTGGTATATTCACGGAGTAACTAACATTTAAGTCCTCAAATAGAGAAGGGGGAGATTTTGTGTCAAGTTCTAAGAAGATGGAATGGTTGAGTGCTATCTGGTCCCCAGGGCAGTCTTAAAGACCAGTGGCTTAGGAACTTTGCTCGTGCTGGCATATACTTTCTCTGACCCACTTTGTTACCCATAGTGTTGGTGACTAGATCTTAACTCTATCTAAATCCAGACACAATGTTAATCTTGCTAGCAAACCTAGCTCAAGATTATAGGGGGGAAAAAAAGTCTGTGTTGAGATATATGTGAAAAACTATGTGAAAAGTGTGTATATACACATACACACACATAAATACATATAGTTTACGAAAATCCTCATTTTGGTGCACTTAGTACAAACTGCGTAAATAACAAGAACATTGGCAATAAAGCCAAAAGAGGATGACTGTGGAATTCTGGAAACCAGAGACACTGTGTTTCTTGATGGAACCCCTTCCAATCTAGGTATATGCATTATCCCTTTACCTTTACTAGCCTCTTCCAAGACAAGTCCAGATCTTCCAAGTGCGTTTCTCTTTTAAAACTCAGCTTAGGCACCCATCATTGCTCTTGGTGACTATTTCTGGCCATCTCTCTGCAGTCTGGATATCCTTCCCATCATAAGCTCTACACACCCTTATAGTTAGTCTTCGTGTCATAATTACGCCTTGAGAGTATTTCCACTGCTGTACTCCTTATGGGCTCAGAGCTTTGTCGTTGTGTCCCCAAAGCCTAGCAGAGTCTCTTGCCAAGGGTAGGCACTGGTAATGGGTATTGAATGAGTGGATTCTAGTCTGAGTGTCCCTTACTTCTAAAATCTCAGACATGCCACACTGGATCCCCTCCTCCTGGTTTCTTGCACAGATACATTCAACTCTTTCCTTCCACAGCAAGTGTCAGCCAGCCCGGGTTATCATGCTCAATATTCACCTAAAGAGAAATAGGAACTTGAATTTTAATGCACGTTATTTTTTCCCTTTTGTCACTAATTAGTGAATATTATCATTACTATGTTGTTGTTGGTAGCTACTGATTGATTCTCTACATTTTTCATTCTGTAATATCCTCATCTCCAAAATTTTCTTAATTTTTTATTCTGAAAACAACAGCATTAAGTAATTAGGATTTCTTAAGCTTCTACCAATAAGGTGACTTTTCACTCCTCTTGTCACAGGAAAGACCACTAGATTATCTGAGAACATCAGGGAAAGTTGTTTTGTTTTGTTTTGTTTTAGTAAGAAAAAAATCTCACACTCTGTCATCTATACATCTTATATTGCACGATTATCAGGTGTAAGGATTTCATCTTATGTTTAAAAAGATACTTTTAATCTGTCTCAAAGCAGAGAGGCATTTGTTATTATTGTTTTTGTTTTTTTTTTTAATTCTACATTCACAAAAAAATAGAAGAATCAGTGGCAATTTATCAACGTGAAGTGGAAGATGCCAAGGCAAACACGTTTGCTAGGATCCATTTGCTTTGGCAGATCTGACTCGTAGGGGAATCTACACTGCCCTGAAGAGAAGACTTTAGTGGGGTGTTAGTGGGCAAACAGAACAGTCTCAGGAGCTCCTGAGTTATTGAGAAGGTTGACGACGACTGCTTTCAATCTGATAATGCCCAGATCTAGTCTGGGTCTATAAAAAATACTTGGACTTCCAAAGAGAACTTGGAATTTCTCTGAACTTCCTAGAAGATAAGTGGAAATTGAAATACGTTTAGACACACAGGCAACCCTGTTCAGTCTACATGGCTTGTTTCAATGTTCCTCAGCAGAGAAGTCATTGCCGGAGTACAAGGAGGTAAAAAGAGGCTTATGTAAAAAGCCACTGTGGAAACATTGCTCTGGGTACGGTTTACCTAGCAATAGGCATTGCATTTGAAGAGACCATTGCAATAAGGGAAATTAAATGTTTTCTTAATGAAATCTCACGCTTGTTTTTTTTTAAATTCATGATATTTTATAATATGAAAACACATCATATAATCCATACTATGGCCATGCCAAATATAACATGAATCTTCAGCAAGAGTTCGAAAACTCATTAAGAGATTTTGAACAAATCTCTTTAAGCCAATGGCAATTTACTGATCTTAAACTGGAAAAACTTCAAAGAAGTTTTAATCTTAGGTGTTTATGACTTGACTTAACCCAAAATAATTTTAATGATTGTTCATTTTAGTTGATACTATAACATTTTTTAAACAAATTCTCAATATGCATTCACATGCATATACACAGCCATATACATTATATATATATTTTTCTGCATTTCTTTATAGTTTTCTCACATACAACATGTTCTTACTAGTACATGTTACCAGCTTTATATATGTGGAATTATAATGCGGGTCCTAATATGATTTGCATTTTCACTCAATATTAATAATTTTGTTGATGTGTGGAGTTGTTAACTTCTTAAATATAGCACAGTATACCCATTTGTTCTCCTTCAATAGACATTACAGTACTTCCATTTTTTTAAATTAAAAACTATATAGGTATGAGCATTTTTTTAAGGGGGAGGGGCAGAGGGAGAGGGAGAGAGAGAATTTTAAACAGGCTCCACACCCAATGCACCGCCCCGTCTCACGACCCTGAGATCATGACCTGAGTCAAAAATCAAAAGTCAGACATGTAGCCAACTGAGCCACCTGGGCACCCCATGAGCATTTTTATATATGTTCCCTAGAACACATGCACTGAGATTCTCTAGGACAGTAGTTTTCAAACTGTGAGCTGTGACCCATTAGTAGGTTATGAAATCAGCTCCTTGAGTTAAAACCAGTATTTTTAAAAACTGACCTTCAATAGAATAGAAAATATCCATATACCCATTTTTAATTTATAGTAAGAATTAGCATTATTTTCTAAAAGTTCTGTTTGTGTTTTATGTGTATGTGATGTACATTTTTATTGTGGATTGTGATAAATATATTTTATATATTTATATCTATATATTTATATATTTACATATATAAATACATGGCACAGCAATATAGGTATATTCCTAATATGGAGTTGCTGAGTCATAGGGTATAAGCACATGAAGTTTCTAAGATAATGCCAAATTGCTTTCCACATTTTTTGTCAAAAAATTAGCATTTTCTGGGGCACCTGGGTGGCTCAATCGTTAAGCATCTGCCTTTGGCTCAGGTCATGATCCCAGGGTCCTGGGATCGAGCCCCGCATCAGGCTCCCTGCTCCGCGGGAAGCCCGCTTCTCCCTCTCCCACTCCCCCTGCTTGTGTTCTCTCTCTCTCTCTCTCTCTCTCTCGCTGTGTCTCTCTCTGTCAAATAAATAAAATCTCAAAAGAAAAAAGAAAATTAGCATTTTCACAAGCAGTCTCCAAGTTTTCATTGTGCCATATCTTTAGGACTTGTTACAGCAGACTTTTTCATCTTTCCTCATGTGGTGAATGCAAAAGGGCATGCTTTTGTGCTTCTGACACGCATACCATGGTTACCCATAGCATCCGTCTAATATGCAAGGCTCTGAGGATTTCCTTTTTAGAAGAAGCCCTTCTTCATGCCTTATCCCCATTTTTCTTTTTTGGTTCTTTGTATCTCTGCTTATAAATTTCAGGTATGTGTTATAATGTAACACGTTTTTAAATTAAAGTATCTTCTCCCAAACTGTGGGTAGGTTTTTTGCTTTATCTCTGTCATCCTTACGTTAACAGAATTGTTAACTTTCATGTAGTTCATACCAAACAATCCTTTCCTTTAACGACGTGTTTTCCTACCCCACGTCATAAAGCTAGCACTGTGTATTTTCTCCGATTGTTTTTGAAGTGCTCATATTTTGTCCACACATGCTAACTATTTTGAGATAACAATTATTTCATCTGCAAATTGGCATTCATTTTCTTCCTTTGTTTCTAGTTCTTATTTTTATCTCGTTCTTTTATTTATTTCTCTGAGTACGGTATTCAGTGCCCCCAACTTTGTCTTCATCCTAACTTTAATGAGAATGCTTGCAGCTATTTAGAGTTACACGTAATGTTGTTATGGGGCTTTGTAGATATCTTGTATCGGATAAAGTAAGTACTCTTCTATTTATTTTTTTGTGATTGATTGATTTTTTTTTTTTTTACAAATTTTATTCTTAAATGTACAACAGGATCTAAGACAACACTTCATTCTAACTATAGGTGACAACAGATGATGGGGGATCCAGATGTTAACAGAGGAATGGAATTAAGGATCACCATTGCCTCAGGCACAAGGAACAGCTTACTTTTTCCAGATTTCTTAATTCCACCAGTGGCCAGGGGACCCTTCTGTGTGGCCTTCACTTTTAGCTTCTCAAGTTTCTTTTGCTCCTCTTTCAGTTTCTGTTTGAATGTCTCATCTTCATCATCCGTCCCGTTGGCGTGCTTCTTGGGTTGTTCCAGCAGCTTCTTGCCACTTTTGTGGCCAGATGTGGCACCTGCTAACCCTTCCCCTACTCCTCCACTTACAGTTGCTTTAAAAAAAAATACAAAACAGATTTAGGGGCACCTGGGTGGCTCAGTCAGTTAAGCATCTGCCTTTGGCTCAGCTCACGATCCCGGGGTCCTGGGATCGAGTTCCACATCAGGCTCCCTGCTCGGTGTGGGGTCTTCTTCTCCCTCTCCAACTCCCCCTGCTTGTGCTCTCTCTCTGTCAAATCAATAAATAAAATCTTTTTTAAAAATTAAAAAAGAACAGATTTAGTCATGAATAGATATTGAATCTTACTGAATAGCTTTCTGCATCTATTGACATAAAGATATATTTTTCCCATCTTTATTTATATGGTATACAACTAATATATTTTCTATATGTCAATATTTAGTATATTTCTATATTTCTGTCTTTTTGAGAGAAAATGAACTTTGGTATAATGTATTTTTTGAATTGTGATAATGTTTTATTACTATTTTGTTTTAAATGTTTACATTTATATTCATGAGTGAGATTGGGCTATAATTTTCAATGAAGAGTGATCCCTGAGTTGAGTTCTGAAGACTTTATATATCAAGGAGTAATAGGAAGGGCAAACTTTTCCAGGATGAACGAAATACTGTCTCTGACTGGGAAATAAGTGCCTATTTTTTGAAGAGGTATTTTAAGTGTCTTTATCCTGATTATTAACTTCAGAAATTTATGGACATTTATATAATAACATGGGATTTATGAGTTAGGAATTAGGCAAACTGAATCCTGGCTCCATCACTTACTGATTCTTTGTATTTGATGTATTTATTTATCTATTTGTTCTAATCTTAGTTACCTTTTCTGAAATATGAACATAATAAATGTGCCTACTTTATAGGAATGTTTTAAAATGAAATCAGTCATACATATGAAGACCTAACATAGTAACTGGCATATAGTTAGCACTCAATAAGTGTTAGCTGCTTCTATTATTATATTCTATTTTTTTTAAGGTTTTATTTATTTAGAGAAAGAGAGCAAGTGAGGCAGGAGGAGGGGCAGAGAGAGAGGGAGACAGAGACTATCAAGCAGACTCCACGCTGAGCATGGAGCCTGACGGCGACTCCATCTCACGACCCTGAGATCATGACCTGAGCTGAAATCAAGAGCGGTATGCTTAACTGACTGAGGTGACCTAGGCACCCTTACTTCTATTATGTTAATTTAAATTATATTTTATTTAATATTATATAAATATTTTATATATTATATTTTAACTATATTTAAATATTTAAATGTAATATAATATAAATATATAAATATAAATAGTATGTATTTAATATTTAATTTAAATTATGTTTTAATCATGAGTGAGTCAACACATACTTCTTTTTTTTATTTTAAATTTAGGAAATTATGCTTTATCAACCTTAACTGATCTCTTATTTTAAGAGAGACATTTAAGGTATTACTCCTTATATTTTAAATTGTCATTCCTGGAAATTTTTATTTTCTCAACTGTGGCTCAGGAAACATTTGGGGTTTTTGTTAGTCGGGGGGTTTTTAATTCTATCCATCTGTTCATCCAAATTTACCGCCCTTTCTTAAAGAATATAGATATATCACTTGGTCAAGTGGGGGTCAAGAGGAGGCTGAGAGCTGCACACTAGTAGAAACTGTATGAGGATAGCATTGTGATCCCTACGGGACCTCAGGAGAGAGCATCACCAACTTTGAATGGCCTACCTGATGCACACTGGATTTATCTGGCTTTCTTTCCCCTAGGAGGAAGGAAGGATATCCCGTAACCAACTTCAGCAATTGTTCCCACTTCATATCAACCTCTTCACATTTCTTAATTAAAAAAAAAAATCTAACAGGTATGCCGACTCACCTTAGTCATACAATATCAGTTTATATTCAGAGGAGTAGGGTCAAAAAATGAGAGTCTGAGAGTTGGAGAGCATGGATTCAAATCCCAGCCTAGCACCTTGGATGAGGGATGGAACCTGTGCCTTGGGGGTTTTCTCATCTGGAGAGGAGGATAATAATCATTTTGGGGAAGAAATTAGTTAAGGTGCTAAGAAGCACACTGATCCATAGGCAGCCCTCTATGTGTTGTGTATTATCTTTATACTACAGGAATGGAAGGGTGCTGCCTCTAATTTAACTTTCAGGTAGTACCTACCAACATATTTTGAATATGACTAAAACATTTCACTCAATAGATGATTTTTTTCTTTAGCCAATTCAACATTTTTGTAATGTAATTTTAATTCACTTCTTTTATTTCCAGTCTTAGTAAATATATGCATTATTCTTAAAGATCAAATTGTTAGGCAATCTTATCTCTAACATAAATAATCTAAACTCCTTTAAATTTATTTTCCCCTGATACTAATCACAATGTATTTTTAAAAAGATGATTTTTTGAATGTACCGATTGTACCAAAAACATTATTTTATGGAATTCATAAATTGTGCCTTTAATGTTTTCAACCTGATAAATACCTGCCAACTTAGGAATTTATACTCACAGTATCCAAATGAGTTATATTGCATCTTGCCAGAAGCAATGTATCTCTATCAATGTCAAAATACCATGGACAACACAGTCATTATTCCAAGTCAAATTTCTATCCTTAAATCCACATATATATTTTCCAAATAAATGCACTGCTTCAATCTCCAGTAAATATATTTTTGGAGGAAATGAAAGTCAGTTCAATAATACCTCTGGGTACCTAATACCCTTGCATAATCATTCTGACTTGGTGGAGAAAAGTTGTTGTATGGACATTACCTACCTCATAGGAATGCTGTGAGGATTAGAGAAATATCTGAAAAATGATTTGAGCTTCTTTGGGAGAGATGTTATTAATATGAGATGGTATTTTTATTTGAATGGGTAGGAGATTGAAAGAGGATTATTTCCTAAAGCGGAAGGGAGGCCTGGTGGTAAAGAAGTCAAATGCTCTACCTTAAGTGAGATGGATTACAGTGATAGCTAAAGGACACTCAGCTGGTTCAGACCTGAATGACAAGAAAGAGGAAGCAGTTTCTAATCCTCAATCCAGTCAGCTTTGTTTTTTTCTGAATAGGTTCACTCTTGAGGAGAGTAGGTAGCAATGGAGAAGGTTTGGGGTCAAGACAGTAAAATAGCTGGTGAGCGAACCTCATTTATTCTCCCCTGTGTCACTCAAGATGTGATGCATTGTCACATATGTGAAACTTCCCTGGGAGTAGAAATGCCAGCAATAGTAAATGATATGATTGTGCTGGGTGTGTTTAAAGCAAATTTCAATATGTGGGATCTATGAGTCTGCACTATCACAACTGGGTAGAGGCACACAGAAACTTAATCTGGGCATAGGAACCCAACTAGTTGATTTTAGAACAAATAAAACATCCACACCATCCCAAATCAGATAAACTAGCATAATACTACATAATGTCTACCCTGGATGGTGAAGCATATGATAAATATTAGATTTGAATCTTGTTAATGGGTTTTGTTAATTTGGCTGTTTTCCTGTTACCACTTCCACTGCCATTTGTCTGCTTTATTATATTTAATTGTCATGTTTTTTTTTCCTATAGAATGTATATTCTAACCTTAACATCTTCACTGCAGAAAACACCACCACAGACTATAGTGATATAGGTATTTGTTTATAGAATTGACAGTTCAGCCTATTTTGGAAAATAAATAAAACCAATCCAGTAAGTATCAAGCAGAACCATGATATAGCTCTCAGAAAATATTTCAAAAATTGTATTGCCGTTTAATAGCGACTGCACTCCCAAAACCTTGATGTATTCCTAGATGAGAATTGTAAAAACTGAGGAGAAATCTGAGCTTCCTAAGATTGAAAGAGGGAAGTAGTGGCTAGAAGGCATAAGGTGGAATGCTTGGGCGCTGGGCCAGGTTCTGAGCTGGCTGTGCGACGCGGAGTAACTTGAACCATCTACATCTGCACTTCTTCTTCTGTGAAATGGGAATAATTTAGTATCAACTTTATACTTCCTTGTGAGGGGTAAAGAGATAATACATATAAACACATATATTTAGTATAAGACCTGCTATACGTACAGTACTCAATCAGCTCTTGCTACTATTGCTACCAGATGATCTTTAATGTCCCCTGAAGTTTTAAGGTACATAGAGCCTCAGATTTGTAATGTCAGCTGTAATAAAGGCTGCGAGGAGTTAAAGGAGGGAAAAACAAAATAAACAGAGGTAGAATATGCTGAGGAGACATTAGAAGAAAATCATTAGGTAATGTGCTCAGTGTCCAAAAGCCTATCTAAAACAAAGACGGGGGTCAAACCCAGTGTTCTCATTCTGTCTCACTATAGCATGGTGTCACATGCTATGGTCAGGGAAACACAATGCATGCTATGTGATTCCATGTAAGGAATTAGGACAAAGGGGTCAGAAGCAGTGAAAGCCCAAGCAGGCTTTGTTTGAAGCAAGACAGAGGTAAGTAATGACAGAAAGATACCATGATACCTCAGGCTGGAGAGTCAAAGGGAGAATGTGGGTGTCCCCCAAGCCGTGCAACTGAGACCATCACAGGGACATGACATAATCATTGCTTGGGACACACCTAAAACAGTACTGAGTTGGTTAGTGCTTCTCATTGGCTGAAACTACCCAGAAGCCTAGTGGTGAGGGGGCCTAGAAAATACAGTTTGCATGAGGTCAGCGGCTAAGATAGAGGAAGACAGTTCTCCTACCTATTTTAGGAAAACTAAAAAATAATAAGAGAAATAGATTATTACAGATTATATATACTATCTTAAAATTTTTTAAATTTTAAAATTTTTATTACCTATTGAAAAAGTAGTACAAATCTGAAAAAGGGTATTTATAGAAAATAGAACTCCATTCAACTGTTACTCAGATTGAATTTTATTACACTCAAATTAACCTTTTTGTTTGTTTGTTTTGTGGGATTGGGGACATTACTATATATAATTGATATTTCATTATATGACTTGTTGGGTGTAATTTGGACATGCCAATATCAGTTAAATAGAAGATTTTCAATGTTTCTTGTTTAG